TTCTTATTACAATTTTTTTTGGTTAACTTAAAATAACCTTGTGTATATTGAAGTTCGTATATTTTTTACATGTCTGTCTATATTTTGCGTTGTTGTAAGTCTGTGGTGAGACGCACACGCAACAGAAATAGCAAAAAACAAATAACACAACGCGCACCGGACACCGTTGGTTCCGTGCCTCCCTCGAATAATACTGAACTGCCAATTGAACGACAAATTGATAACTATCTGCGAACCAGTGTAATGGGTGTCCCGATGAATCTACATGCAGTTATGATGCCGTCATGCATGTTAGTCTTCTTGTGTGAAAATAAGGGATTAAAATATATTCGACAAAATAAAAAGGTGTAACAAAAACGTTCGCTTAATATCCTCGTAATTTTTCTATTACTGATTTACGATTGCATCTACTATCAATAAAGTAATTTGAAAAAATGACCTCCATGGTATAGTGGTATGTACACTGTGTTAGGTGTCGCCTACTTAGAGGTCCAAGCTTCGAATCCCGATGTGGCAAATGTTTGTAGGATGATTATGACTATGTCAAGGTTGTAATATACATGTCTATAAAAATATACTTATCCATCATCATACGTATTTCTATATGTTACACTAAAATCGAAATATTTATTTATTGCTCACGGCTATTTAAGTATTGTTCAGTAGAAATTTAAAATTATTTAGCAGTTACCTATGTACGTGTTAGCTCCCATGCAGATAGTTATAGCCTATCAATGGACTCGTCCATTATGGAATATGTCTCGGCATGTTCAGAATATATTTTTAGGGGATGGGCTGGTCAACAGCATAGCACTATAAGGATCCCGAGGGCCTCCATATTTATAAACTCATGCACCTTCCAAGGTGGTTTTGGTGGTTTTGTGTTTCTGAACGTGAGTAAAGTTCCATAGAGCCCTACGGAGTAGGAGATTGGGATACGGTAGACAACGATGCGAGTGATATCGCAAGCGTCTATAGGCTATGAATAAGCGTTGGTCCGCCTGATCCATCAGGCGGACCAACGCTTGAACGTCTTGCCACCCTTTTAAGATAAAAAATAAATAAATGCAATTTTGATATTTTAGACGAACCCTGATCATTCATCGATCTGTCGCCTAGTGCCTAAATAGATTATAAAATCAACGCGTTTCTTTTCTAGTTAAATACCAAGATTGGCAAGTTTTCTCTCAATGAACTTAAGTCTAAAATTGAATTCTAACATTGTCCCGTACTCAGTTATGCTACGGCCACACTGTCGCACTATCGCTAACATTTTCTGTTTTCACGACAAGTCGGGCCAAGCAATAGTCACATTTCAGAACAGGGTCAGACATGTGGTAATCGCTTGTTTAGATGCGTCGCGAAAATGGCAAATGTTTGCAAAGTGCATCAGCAGTGTCGTTTCTTTTTTTTATTTTCAGTACGTCTAACTATTTGAGTCAAAGACCCTTTTGTTGTGAACAGAGAATCTTGAATCACAAACGAGTTAGGACATTACAGAAATAGCATTCCATTCTTAACCAACAGAACTTAAGAAGCGTTAACTTCATTCATTTCGTTTTGCGTCTCGCAATTAAGAGAGTTGCCCGAGATCGCCATCTTTAAACAGGACCATAGACAACGAGCTCTATTATTAGAATATAAGAATGCGTTTCTCTTTTTTTGCACGTAAACGGAGCTGCAATTAATTATTCGGTGATGAAAGTAGCGTAGTTGAAGTGAGGAAATATATATTCTCACATTGTACTTGAAAGTAGTCTAACAATATTTTTTTAGATATGTTAATGAAAATAGGAGGAGCTCGATGGCGCAGGTGGCTAGCGCGTTCGGCTGCGATCGTTGAAGTTAAGCAACTTTCGCAGTGGTCGGTCATTGGATGGGTGACCAAAAATTTACTATCTCGAGCTCCTCCGTGCTTCGGAAGGTACGTTAAGGTGGGTCGCGTGGTGGGTCATGGCCCAATCTCCCTATTCCATCCATAGGGAAGGCCTGTGCCCCAGCAGTGGGGACATTAATAGGCTGATGATGATGATGATGAATGAAAATAATGATATTTGACCCCCCGACCATCAGACTGAACACACAACGCCAACCACTGCGTCATTAACTTATGTCCTACATACTTAGCTTAGTTGTCCGTATCTCTTATATAAGCTGTATTAAGTAGGTATCTTATAAGCCCTAGGCAACTCATAGGCATGACGGACAAAAATTAACACAGAGTTTATTTAGTTTTTTTTTTTCAGTCAGATTATTTATCTAGACCTATTTCTCTTGCCGCTATGATAAAAGTACGAAACAAATTTTATTTTATATTTTTAGAAATGTCATTTCAACGTTTTGATATAATTAGGTTTGTATCCATTTCAAAAATATTTTATCTTTCATGCAGTGAATTTTTCATGCACCGTCTACATTTTTTTAAGTCTACGTAGAGTTTTTTTTCGAGAATGAGTATTCACCGCGCGCCACCAAGTACCCTCTGATCAACGTAAGCCACGTTTATCACAGTATTTTTCGAGTACTAGAAAATACCTAACAGTTGTTGAATTTCAAATGTAACATGGGCAGCAAGAAATGATGGAACGTTTCCAGGGCCTGATTTTAGACAGGGCTGGCGGGGTTAGAACCGAGGGAGTTCCAAAAGAGAGGGGCACATCCACTGCAACATAGATAAAAAAAAATAACCAATTTTCGACAGGTCCCTTACCAGAGGGGTGTAATCATAAGACAAAATGAAATAACGACTATGTTTTTGACTTAAAAATCTATTGGAAAGTTCGATTTTGGTTCAGCAACGGAGAAAGAATATGAAATAATTACAAATTATATGTATTTGTGTAAAGCCTACTTGCGGTATTAATATTTAAAAGACACGGCGGATTTCCCTCCCGCCTAAAGAAGCAACATAGAGAAAAAAGACCATCTCTAGCCATTGACAGAAACACAGAGGAAGAACGAGTATTAATTAGATGATTACATAAGTAGAAGTTCTTTTATGTAAAAAAAAACAGTTTATTTAAAAATAAGTGTAACAAACTCTAGAAAAGTTACCTAATAATCCGATCTCCTCCCTACTGGCAGGTACAGACATCAAGTGATAGCGACAAAATCTTCGATTACTTTAATATAATTTAATAATTTATTAGAGAGCTGATTTCCTAAACATATCTCGTGGACAAAATAACATACCTATAGATTTGTGGCAATTAGATTAGAGTACATGGCATCTTCGGATATAATATATATCCGATGATGCCATGTACTATTATATCTATCACCATATAATCATCATAACCCGATGGACTTCTACATGGGCATAGGCCTCCTCAAGGGATTTCCATACACAACGATCTTGCGCTTTCCGCATCCAGACTGAGTGTTCTTATCAGATCTATAGCCTCAAGATGCTGCTTTGCTGCTATACTAAAACGTTACACAGCGCGAGAGACATCACGAACAATTACGTAGTTCTTTTGTAAGTTGTTAGATTCTCTATAAAGTTGTTTCACTGCAGTCCTCGGGAAGTTGGAGGTTGTTCTTTTTTTTATTTTACACTTCAAATTTTTCTGGGCTTCCCTTTACTAACTGTCATATTGACTACTTAAAAAAAAGGATTTTCTAGACAACCTCAAAGTCCTTTAAAGGCTTCACCGAATGAAGTTCGCGGATGTGGGGTCGTGCTTTTGTAGGGAGGGAGTGTGTGTAATTAGAGGATGCGTACACGCTCTGTTGGAGTGTAAGCTCTACCGGAAGGCGCGTAGGGAACTTAAGAAGCAATGTGAAGGTGCTTGAGGTTGGGCCGGTCTACTATCGCGACCTGGTGGGCTCGGAGGCGAACTATAGGCAGCTGCAGGAATTGGCGCGTAAATGGCACAAGATTAGAAGTGTACTCGGGACTGGTGAAGAATAAAGAGCCGTGGCGAAGATAGAAGATACACTGAATTGGAGCCTGCGGTACCACTTCAGAGTGAGCAGGGGACGGCTGGAAGGCCACGAAGCCGTTTCATGTACATCCGCCCCAGTAAAAGTAGAGGGATATTAGGGACAAAGGAAACAGATTTAGAATAATCTGGTGAAAGTCAAGAAAGTACTCGTGGTGGAGACCATTCCACGCGTATCTCTCGCGGCTTCGGCCTGCATAACCAGGAAGTTTCATCAGGCCATGGGTGGTCGGTGATGGGATTTAGTCCATGACACCACAGAAAACCCTCCGAGAACCAATTGATGTGTAAATTGCTCAAACAACCTACCGCCAACAAAATTAATTAAAGGTGCGGAGGTAGGTAATTACTATTTTACAGGAAGCATTTTAAAAAAAATACCTAGTTTAAAACCTTTTCTGAGTATTGCACACGTGTAATGCAAGCATCAAACCTTCCTTTCAAAATATCCGCTAGCTTACAACATAGCTCCACAGGTTCCCGTTCTTAACCTTTGACATTTAGGATGGCTTCGAGAATTGCTCAATCTGCTATCTTTTAAAAAAAACTATGCCAATCTCTCAAAAGGTTTTCTTCTGAGGTCTACTTACTTAGAAATCTTTAGCTGATATCAAGAACCAATATTTCTTTTAATTAGATGCTGTTATTTTTTTAAGACATAAGGTTCCAAATTCAAATCTGTAAATAGATTTATAAGTCCAGTCGTAGAAAAGAAAAAACAAAGTACATACTTGTGTTACTACATTAACGTAGAAAATATTACAAGCACCTATTACTATGCATGGTTTTCTTATTACTGAAAAAAAAACACTCCTTGCATTTGCTTCCCGTTTTAAACGACTCTCCAAATCGGAAAATTCGTTGGTGATTCCTGTTAAAGCAGAGCTAAAAAATTGTAGGCGTTTGGTTAAAACGGCTCGCTTGTTGCGCAGTTAAGTTTGAGGGCACAACGCAACATCGAAATCACCTCGTAAACAACATCGGGCGGAAGGCGCATGGGAAAAACAAAAGCTAGCGAAACAGAAAACAAGTAGGATGTTCTTTTTGCTAAATTACCTCCGACGTTGCCGTCCGCGTCCGTTTTCGGGCCGGAGAACTTGAGCCCCCGAGTTGTCTCGTTCATAATCCTGACATCTTCAGCCGTGGCCACTCTAAATCCTAAACCGTGGCTGGACACGGTGCTGTTCCACTGCCACATACACAAGTCTATGAGAGAGAGGTTGGTCAACACCTCGAAGTTGCAGAACACCCCCGTCGCTTGAGACACGGGGCTATATTTGTTAACTGCTTCGTACGTAGGCGCTCCCCCGCGTAATTCCTTCATCTTCTTTGTCAGAGAATCGGAATCGTTGTCAGGGGTAGTTTTCTGGTTCATCGCGTACGACCCTTCATTATCGTTCATCATGTCGTCTGTTCTCCGAGGCCCTATAGTCCCCAGCAGCTTGTTGAAGTTCTTCCCTCTTCGTGGTTTCCTCCTGTCTTCTGAAGTCCTGTTCATCATGAGCTCGCTCAACGCGTGCATGGAACCCTTGCTCGCGGACCGAGCCCTCTGTTCTTTTTCCGCCTCCAAGGCTTTCTTCGCTTTATTTTCTGCTTCGACTTCATGGGGATGATCGCCTACCGCGGCTGCGACGACGGTCAGTATTATTATGAGCCTTCCAAGCGCCATTAGTATGTCAATATCTGTCTCAGATAACGGACTTGGGGCCGCGCTGAGCGGTCGATGCTACCAATGCTGGGTGTTGGAGCATTTTGTGCGCGCACAATATTGTTGCAGCCGTCAGTTAGATTCATAACAATTAGTTAATTAAAGTTCGTATTAGCACTGATCGTATACCGCTGCGGGGCAGTTTATCTCAGCACGTTTGGCCGCGGCCTCGCACAACGCACAGCGGCGGGTATGGCCTGGTTCCAATACTCGTCGGCGGTCGATACGCTGCCGATGTCGTTCCGAATGCATGGTGCTCCAGCGGCAACGTTCATCGCACCTTCACTTCACCACACATCGGGGCATAGGCGCGCCGCGGCATCACGCGACCCGCCCGCACATCCCTGGAAAACGGGACCACAAATGGAGGACGACACTCGATGCACAAGAAACTAACTGCGCGCTAGCCCGGCGGCCCGACTCCCGATCTATTTTAACTAAACGGCACTAAGCGGGCGCTCCTACTTATTACACTTTTGTAAACGCATCCGCAATTTTTCAATTTACAGCACTGATAATACGTTTTAACAGTCTATAACGAGGTACATACATCGCCATCCTACTCCCGTGCGCAGCGCCACAGCGGGAGTATGTGGAACTAGGCGCCCATGGACCGAAATAATCATTACTTTTCGCGAGATGTGATCTTGGAGAGGCGTACGGAGGGATGCTGCGCAAGTGCCAGAGACACTCCGGCACGTTCCCGGGCTTTTCGCGCAGGATGTAGCTGCATCAAACACCGGATATTATATTGGCCCAATAAGGATCATTGTTCACGTAAACCGCTCGCTATTGGGTGAGAACGGTGGGGTGCGCTGCTGATTGGTCAGCATGAAATTGCCGCGAAACTGAGCCAATAGTGCACTGAACCGGACATTGCATGAGAAAATTTCCTCAGAAAATTGTTTTCGCGAATGGCGGGTGGTCGTTTTTTTGCCGACAATTCTGCCTGCTGTTGGCGGATATTGAATTGAAGGTGTTTTTGTCGGCTCCATGACTTTCCATTTCCATCGCGTAATAATGTTATTGGTACTAGGGGGAAATAGGAATTCGTTTTTACATTATTCTATCGGATTTTAGATTTACGACTATGTTAGTGATCAATAATATTAGACATACAAATATGAATTGAAGTCTGTGTGCTGATTTAACTATACGTAATAAACAATTTCTCTAACTACGATAAAATAATGAACAATACATAAATTAATGCTATTGTGGAATAAATTTTGAACAATGAATCCAAATCGAGAATGACACTTCTCATATCGTTATCGTAATTGAGAACATACGTTCCGAAACTAATATGTGATGAGTTTGTGTATTTGTAAACTGTTATATATTATGGAATTTAGAACTTGCAACAACTAAAAAATCTTTGAAAATACGGTAAGTTTATCCATCAGTAATAAAGCAATTTAATTAATTTTAAAAATATTTATTAAATACTTTTATTGATCGAAGTTTAATACCATTCATTTTTTATTTCATCTTAGTGACGTTTGAAATGTTCTTGCTCAAACAATAGTTTTAGAACGTCGTACCACTCCTAGGTTTTATTTTGATATGGTGTTCTTGATTTTTTATTAATTGAGAGTGAATTAGTGTGTTAATAATTAAGATAATGTGCATATCATGAGTTAAAATGTGTTTCTACGGCCGCTGCATATAGAGTTTGTCAACCTATTGTCATTGAAACAATAGAATCCTTTTGTTTACATGGTGAGAATAACTGTACCTCTGCCCTTATTTTATAATTAGCCTATTTATTAATCATCGGTAGGCCTGGCCACGTTTTAAACTTGTCTGTTGTGTTTTATTTTTGAAGTTCAGACAAATAATCTTGGCCGGTATTATAAATAAAATACACAGTTACTAATAATAGCTTATCTGTTAGAAACGGTTCTTTGATTCTTGTCTAACTGATAAAGTATCAAACTTCTGTAAGGACAAAGGTTTTGTCACGGCTTCAACATTATAAAGTGATTTTTAAGAAATTTAATTCATATTTCTACAAACTTGATTTACTTCAGAATATTTAATGCAGAATTAAAATCAGTTATTTCATCTAGCTGAAACACAATTTACTGTTTTCCACTAGCAGAACGCATGAATCAGAAAAGTATAGGTACAAACCATACTCCATATTAATGTTTAAAATGTTATAGTGTCTGTTATCTCTTCATGGTTCAATTTCTATACCGATTGAGCTGATATTTGGTATAGTTTTTATCCCAGAAATCATCCTTTTAAATTACGGTTTTCTTTAATTTTTTCTTTTTTTTACACACACTAATTAGCCTAGCCCCAAAGTAAGCACTGTAGGCTTGTTTTATGGGATATGTAGGGTAAAGGATAGAATACATATATATATATAAGTACATTTATGTAGAAACACATATTAAACATCCGTGTCTGACAGTCATGAATGTTTAATGTGTGTATTAGTTAAAGTCCTGTTGGTTGTCCTATTAAATAAATAAAATAAAATTTTAAATCTTGATCTGCTTTCATGTAATTTTTGTACAACACAATAAGTATATCAAAACTTACAATATTTAATAAATTGATATCACAATTCACCATTTTATGACTAAGGAAATAATAATTAAAGAGAGATCTTTTTTTTTTCAAAAAACTTTTTGGTAATAATTTTTATGAGAACTATGAAAATCCATTCAGCAAGTTTTGAGATCATGGCAAACATACAGATAGAGAGACTGGGGGTGATTTGTTTTATAAAGTAGCTTAGAAGAAAGTAGTATGATTATATGGACGCCAGGCGTGTACAGAATGCTTGTGCCAGATACTGTTTTCGAATTCCCCAAAGAGGTCACATAATACCCTATCTAAATAGAAGTAAAATATTGAAATTATACAAAGAAAACGCCCCATATACTTGTATGAGAAGCTGAAGTCTCTGAAATTTTCTGAACGTCCATTTCATATTAATTGTTTAATAATATTTAAGACCTATGAATAAATTACAAATGTTATTTAATTTAAATTATTATTGTTAACCTATTATTATCTTTTTATAATTTAACTATTAGCACTTGGTCTAAGGCTAAGTAGGCTACTGCTGAAAATCAGTGTCGTAGCACATCTGTTCAGGACATATACTGACCAATGGCCTGTTCAGTACAAAATCTCTGTATAATACAATAAGTTATTTTTTTGTAATTTATGCCAAATAAACGTGTTTATTACTATTATTATTATATGGTGACGACTTCTTGTTTTATATAATATATAAAATTCTTGTGTCGCTGTGTTTGTGGTCAAACTCCTCGGAAACGGCTTTCGCGATTCTCATGAACTTTTGTGTGCATATTGGGTAGGTCTGAGAATCGGACAACATCTATTTTTCATCCCCCTAAATCTTAAGGGTAATCCACCCCTAAATTTTTTTTTTTCAATTTTAGATAATTTTTTTTTTAATTTTTTTATGATACATCATACAAAAAAACATACATCCCTAAATTTTGAACTTTCTACCACCAACCCCTATTTTTTATGGCGGTACGAAGTTCGCTGGGTCAACTAGTATACATATAGAATACACTGATCTTCCAAATGATAGATTCAATTCCAACTAACAATGGAAGTTTATTTCAACGATACTATTCAAATTAGCCAAGATTGTCTTTTGATTAAGTGTGTAATTTGATTGGATAAACAATCAATTAATTGTCTATAGGTAGCATGAACTCACTGCACTGCTGTTCCTTGTTAATAGGGAATAATGAGAAAATAATTTATTATTTTTTCTATTAATTAACTGGGTGCTTAAATAGTTAGGGTCTTACTAAAAAAAAGTTAGACACTGTTTCACACATTGTTTAAGCAAATTTTTTATGAAATTGTTTCTTTAACTCCAGTTGAACACACATGTCACATTTTTTGTGGTAATCTGGTACATTCTGGTACTCTCCTATATTCAGGTTTTGTTTTTTAAGCCTATGTCATTTTTAAGTTCTCTCATATCTCAATACTGAAATTCCTCAAAATAGGTTTAATCGGAACGACAAATAAAAAACAGAGTTTCGCATTTTAAGATTACTCGAAAAGGCGTAAAACGCCCTCGCTCTTACAGTGTAGTAAGAAATAAATTAGCATCAAAACTCATTCCATGTTTTGTGAGAAGTTACTGGACACATAGACATCAGACACAGAGAGCAAAAGCAATCTTTAGGCAGTTATCCCACCGCCGGCAATGATGCGACTAACTATAAACTATTTTCACCCTCAAGAAACATACAATAGATCAGGGCATGAATAGGGGTGATGACGGGGTACAGTAAACGAAATTTTATTTAGTCCGTCAGTTAGATGATCAAAAAATAATGGACACGTATTTTTTCTTTGGGCAATCAACCAAAAAATGACAAAGTTATAGCGCGTCAAAGTTTGGCTCGTGACGTCACTTTTGAGTGAATTTTCCCTTATAAGTGTACTCAAACGTGACGTCATGCGACTTTTCAAATCAATATATCTATGCAATGTTTATATTATGTGAAAAAAGAAAAAATACGTGTCCAATACTTTTTGATAATCTACCTGATAAACGAAGAAAAAAAAATAGTCATCATCCCTATTGTGATGAATTTAAAATTTTGTTCAGGAAAATTTCCTGTTACTTTTCCATGCTTCCAACAGCTAATGTTATCATTTCAAAGTATTTACTAAGTTTGCCTGCTCACTTAATAAAACAGGATATTCTAACTATAAGTACCTATGTGAAAAAAAAAAGCGATACTTATACCAACCTTTCACCTATTTATTGTAGATTGTGTTCAATTATTAAAAAAAAGACAAATTTCGTGCCTTTTTTTCATTTAAAGTGCTATGTTAATAAGGAAAAAATAATCGTTATGATTTACCCTTTCGACGGTTATCATAAAATGCATGTGTTCTTTGTTTCACATTTCACGAGTTTCATTCCCGGTTTTGGCAGGTGATTTTTTAAACACTGTGAATGCAGTTCTACTTATTATTAAAATTAAGTCTTCTTTCAGTAAAATATCCTATCTTCAATATTTAATATACTTTGCCTCCATATGACAAACCCGTGGGACGCCCTGTATATTTATACATATATATTTGCGTGTAACGCTCGTAACCAGAGTTATCGACATAGCCCACCGGATTAGCAAGTTGAAGTGGCAGTGGGCTGGCCAAATTTGTCGAAGAACCGATAAACGTTGGGGTAGAGGAGTTCTGGAGTGGAGACCGCGTCTAGGCAAACGTAGTGTAGGACGACCTCAGGCGCGATTGAGTGACGATTTGCGCAAGGTGGCTGGCAGGAACTGGATGCGAGTAGCCCAAGATCGACCTGAGTGGCGTGCATTTGGAGAGGCCTATGTCCAGCAGTGGACTCAGATAGGCTGTTGATGATGTTGATGTGACGCTCGTAGCGTTTCAGCCTTCGCCTAGTTAGCTAGTTACCCTCCAACTTTCATACTCGTCGGGAAGAGCTGCGCATGCATCCCACGCACACACACATATATAGTCGTGTGATGCTCGTGACGCATTTCCGTTTCATTTTTACCTAATATTTTTCCATTTACACCCCTTCCAAAAAGAGGCTTCATTTCAAAAATGTGTTAACAGATACTTTCTAGACAGTGGAAGTGCCATCTTGAATGAAACACACATGTGCTGTAACTTTGGTATATATTTTTCTAACAAGTGAATATATTTACGTGTCTACTGCCAGTATGGCTAAGTGTCCTCCAACAAGATGTCATCATCATCAGCCTGTTAATGTTACCCACTGCTGGGGCAGGCCTTCCTTATGTATGGTAGAGGGAGACTAGGCCGTGACGCACTACGCGGGCCCAGTGCGAATTGGTGGGTGCTAACGACTGCGGATGCAGCTGAGACCAACCGCTAGACGTGTCTTCCAAAGTACATCCAATGATCGACCATTGAGAATGTTGCTTAACTCTCACGATCGCAGGCTGAATGCGCTAACCACCTACGCCATCAAGGACCTTTTTATTTATTTCTTATCCTTATTTGCCAGTTATTCTATAATAAATATCCTCATCTGTCCTCAGGTAAAATGCTGTGACCACAATGTCCGGTGGAAATTCCAAGGGCAAGGCCCGCTCCAAGCGGCACGAGGGCTGGGAGGAAGCCGGCGGAGAGTTCTACCAGGAGTTGTACCCTGGAGCTGAACAAGAGCTGTTCGAGCACCTCCAGAGGGCTGATGCTGCGAAGCTGGCCACTCTGCTGCCGTCGAAGCAGGCGAGGAATAGTGAGTCTTCTTCTTTTCTATCGAAGTGCTTCCCAATATGCAGCAATGTCAATATCTCTAGCCGTGGAGGAGGAACAGTGAGTAAAATATATAAAGTGAACATTCTTTTATTTTAAAATTGTATCTTGGCGTTGAGCAGGTACTCTTTGAGCATCGCCAGAGGGCTGATGCTTCTAAATTACCGTCGAAGCAGGTGAAGAACAGTAAGTAGATACCGTATACCAAAATTTCACATTCTTAACTAGTTTTGATTTTGGGATACACCTCTTTACAAAAATTATCTAAAAATGACAAATTTGACGGCCCTTCCCAGTCCAGCATTTCTTTGTTATTGAAAATAAAAACTTATGAATATTAATATCCTCCTCAACGAGCTCTAGACAATAATGTTTTATATTCGGCTATCGGCTTAGATTAAAACAAAAAGGGGAAGATACGGCACTCGAGGCTCAAAAGTGATCCGCTTAAATTATGGTGTGGTGCATGACCGACCACAATTCGCTTCACAATTGGACATTTAAACACGCCGCTACATGTGTTCTCAATATAACAATATTGCGTATATTCTGTGTTATAAAGTTAAAACAATGCCTTCGACGCTTTTATGAAGTACACAAATATTTCAAAATCAAATGCCTCGGCAACACTTTTCATTCGTAAAACTGTAAAAACATTATCAAAAATCACGGTTTATCGTGAATGTTGTTGACGTAATCGCCATTTTGTTATCAAGAAAAGGACAACAATACAGCTCACCCGTACGGACTCGGAAGCGGACTCGCCGTTTCGCTCGCGCTCGATTGAATGTTTATATACAGAGGTGTGCGTGTGAGAGAGTTGCTTATGTAGTACTAGTTGAGTCGGATCATCAACGATATTAAATACCCTAGATACACCAACACGAACAAAATCATACCCGAAACCTGTCCACAAGGAACATTGGACGATCCACGGAGCTCCGTAAGATGATCGCGTAGTCTAAACAATATAAGGCATTATTTAAACATTGAAAATCACCTGTAAAGCATACAGTATAAGGTCTTAATTAAAACGCACGCGTCAAAGAGTTATGACAGTCCGATATGTAAGCTCGTAAAATTTTACGACTTATTGCTACATGCAGAAGAATAAAGACCTTATTCCTACGCACTACGCACTCTACGCACAATTCTGAATGCGCTGTTAGTAATATAGCAGGTACGGTCCGCGAGGAAAAGAGTCTGCTATATTATCGACCATGCATTTGAATATCATAAATATTTTCTATTAAATCACTTTATTGTAAGTATTAAAACAAATTTTACTTCAAATGCGTTAAATTAACAAACATTGATTAGATACCTGTCGAAAAAGCGACATTTTACATTCTATAAGTATTTTTTTCGCCTGTTTTCACGGAGCTCAGCGGCATGTTGACTTTACAAAAATATCCGGTCCGGTCGTGACTGTGAATCGTGAAGTGCTTGAGTCGTGTTCAAGCACTTCTTGATTGGGACACATTTTGAGCGCACGTGTTGTATCTATGGTATTTAATATCGTTGCGGATCATATTTAATTTGATGCTAGTATGAGCGTACCGTATCTTCCTCTTCTGTTTTAATCTAAGGCTGTGGGCAATCATTTTACACAAAACATCAAAATTTCAGTTATGTAACTCATTCCGTTTACGATCTACAGATAGTACGGAACCCTAAAAAAACGTCTACTGCACAAGTTTATTTGTTTGGCTCTATAAGTTTTCCGCTACGTTTACGTGGGGCTCAGTTCAGGAACATAACCTAGAGTAGTAGATTGACTAGGAAAATTTTTCCCAAAGTTTATTTAACACTTCGTATTTCCTTCTTTTACCTACAGTATTCAATGTCTCCGTACAGTGCAATTTCGTGTGAACGCAGGTTAACGAAGCCGCTGCAGTTCTTAAAATCGGTAACCCATCAAGAATCCATAGACTATTCTATTTTCGAAGTAAGAAATAAATTGACAGCTAGCACTTACCTGTGTTACCTCGGCTGAAAAATAAATAAACTTCTCTATTGAACGTAAATGCACAAAAAAGATAGTACAGAAGGCAATCTACATACAAAGTGCGCTCAAGGAACGCTCAACATACTAAGGCCCGTATTATAGAAAGATTCTCAGTGATTGATCTAGTCTTGAGCATAGTTAGAAAGGGATGTCGCTATATATAGCACATAGCGACATCCCTTTCTTACTGTACAAGAGACTACTAAAGTAAAGATCAACACTTAGTTGTCATTCTGTAATACGGGCCTTAGACACTACTCACGGACACGATATCTCGGACCACTTGGGACCAGTGCTAGCCCGAGCTCCATTCGCTTGAGACACGCGTCTGTGAACTTTTTTGTGCAAATATCGAGTAGAAAAAAAATAGTTAATTCAACATTAAACGGTGGAGTGTCGTTTTTGAAGTGAAAACTTCTTTAGAGCAGTTGTGATTTGAGATTCGTTGAAACGAAAGTAGAGTATTTGACACAAGATAGGTATCCGAAATTTTGTCATTTAGCATAAGATACGGATAGCCAAACGGTAACGGTCTTGGGATCGACACCAACTGATCGGTGGTTCGATCCTGAGCTCGGTAATTTTTTTAGTAGCTTTTTTTTATTAACCTATTATTTATTTTCCGAAACAATTTAAGTATAGTATATTTTAATTTGCCCAGTATTTTACAATACCTGAATTATTAAGTATTAAACGTTTAGTAGGTGCCTTTGTTGTTTATTAATACAGGCTTGGTTTTTGGAGTGGCCTACGCAAAACTCCCCTTCACTATCCCGTCGCGGCCGGGGTGTAATTGGGTAACTCGTCCTTTCGGCCATTTCGCTCGTGGCAGGCTGTCATCAGCAATGAGAACCTCGCCGATGTTGATGGTGCTTGATGCGGCGGTATTACTTCACGCACTCATCTCGACCAAAAATGGTCTGCGAGGCGGGACGCCTTTTGCCATTCCGATCAGCCTACTAAGGATGTATATGTCATCGCTGGTGTGGGTCTAGCGATGGGTGAGGATTCTTCGATGAGAAAATTAAATGATGTTAGGGCTAGAGTAGACAATAACGTGTGAAAGCGGCCGTGGGTTCACACTCGCCTCTACCTCCATCAACAAAGTGAGGAGGATTTCTTACTACCAGTTATAAAAACAAATTATGCTTATCAATAAATACAGTGATTACATAGCGGTTTTATTTCTGATTCCATTATAATATTCCTTAATTTCATATGTATGTCATATGTAGACTATGATGTCATAAGTAGAATCTATCAAATATCGACTAAACGGTGCGTACTAGCCGGTCCCAACATCCTCCGAGTAAAACTATCAAAACCAATTCATATTTGTAAGAAAAATATATGTATATACACAAAGAGGTCGGTTCGCCACAATACCTAATATAAGAATAATATTAAAATTGAAATACTTTAGTTATTATTGGTTTGTATTTCCATTCTTCCTGTTCCATTTTCAACAATAAATTAAACAACTTAATACCTACGTGAGTTTTTTGAGTTTGTGCACAAGCCAGAATGAAAAAGTGAAGTACATACATAATATTACCTTCTGTATTATCTATTTTGTGGTAAATGTTACATATAACGCTATTTTTAATCTCAGTTTTCGAACCGCCTCGGGCTAAATAGGTGTCTCGTACTGTGCTGTTGTGATTAGTAAAAATAAAAAATATTGCAACTGGAATTAGCCTTCTTTGAGTGAAATACTTTAATATTAATTGTATTTTTTTTATAAGATGTAAATAAACATTGGCTGAGAGTGAGATCCTAGATAGTTATACTGTGACAAAAATATTGTGATTTCAACATAATATTTTTAGCAAGGTATTGAATTTTTAATAAATAATCTACACGTTAAACATAACTTAAGTTATGACCCCATTGCAGTTTACATCACTTTAAATATAATAGCTAAACTAGGCTAGAATATATTGAGCGAGCGATTTTTTTACACAACTATACAAAAAAAAAGTGTAATGTTTTATAAGGCTCATGTGTGTATTTTACTGTTACTTTTATATACTTAAAGTAGATCAGACTTTTTTATACATCGGTTGTTATTATTTCTACATTGACAGCTATATTTATTACCATTACCCCCGGTGGGGGCAGATGTTTAATATGTATTTCTATATTAATATACTTATATATGTACTTTATGTATTCTATCCGTTACCCTAGTATCCCATAACATAAGCCTTACAGTGCTTACTTTGGGGCTAGGCTAAATGGCGTGTGTTGGAAATATTTATTATTTGAGACATCATCCTTAGTCTACTTCGTTCGAAAAATGGCTAAAGAATGAGTTTTCATTATGAAGAGGGCTAAATTAATGTATTATTTGTGTATTGTTCTAGCGAAAACTGTGAAGAGAGCGTATCTGTATGTGTATTATTCAAATGACCCCTGTAAAAAGGGATTTAAAACATAAGTATGTATGATTTATGTAATGTTCTAGCGACTGCTGTGAACAGAGCCTAACTGTGTATGTATGTACGATTTGTGTATTATTTCCAGCGCCTACAGTGAAGAGGGCTTTACTAAATGTATTATTTATGTATTGTTTTAGCGACAACCGTGAAGAGGGCTCGGTCACAGAATGAACGGCGGCAGTCTACCTTCGCGCGAACTACCCAGAGCAGGGACATACATCTATCCATGATGCCAGACTTATCAGGTAAACACAAGAAAATATTACTATAATGTAAAAAGTGGAGGGAAAAAGGAGCTCGATGGCGCAAGTGGTTAGCGCGTTCGGCTACGATCGTTGAAGTTAAGCAACTTTCGCAGTGGCCGGTCATTGGATGGGTGACCAAAAATTTACTATCTCGAGCTCCTCCATGCTTCGGAAGGCACGTTAAGCCGTTGGTCTCGGCTGCATCTGCAGTCGTTAGCACCCACCATTCCGCACTGGGCCTGCGTGGTGGGTCATGGCCCAATCTCCCTATTCCATCCATGGGGAAGGCCTGTGCCCCAGCAGTGGGGACATTAATAGGCTGATGATGATGATGATGTAAAAAGTGGGGCTTTTGTCCGCCTGATTTTTAGCGAAAATCATAGTTTATTTCCTTTGTTTCCCGTGGTCCACCTCGTAGTCCACCATGAACCATGGGGAATATTTATTTCCCGTGGTTCACCAGGTGGATCACGGGTATTTTCTTTCTTCTTACGTGCTTTTTTGTTCATAAGAACATCCATAATTTACTGTTAGAAACGTATGGCTATACAGGTAGACCACGGGAAAAAAATAATCCCCGTGGTCCACCTGGGTGGACCACGGGAAACAAATGGTTTATTTATATAAGCGATGCCTACTGTAACTTTGACCCATAATATTCCATGGAGCTTTTTAGAATATCTTATATCTGGACTTTTGGCGTTCTAGCACCATGCGCTACGCGCGTTCCTTTTTCTTGCGTACCAGCGAGATCTGGAACGAACTTCTCTCAGCTGTTTTTCTTCTTAGCTATGATATGACGGTCTTCAAAATGCGGGTAAACCTCTTCCTTCAAAGCCAGCAACGCATGAGTGGTACTCTTGATGCTGCAAGTATCCAGCATCAGGTGGAGTACCAGCTCGTTTGACTGCATAAACATTTTAAAATTGAATAATAATAATAATAGTCTCCAAATGGAGTATTCTTCGCCGGAAGGACTTATAAAATGCAATCTATCGCAGTGAAGGAAAATTCTAGGGAACAATGAATATTATATTTATACCTACAAATCATTGCGTACGACTAAATCGCATATTTCGCTTACAGATCATGAGACATTATTCAGGTCAATATTTTATTGTTTAATTTAAATTATATGTAATCACGTGCAAATTCCAATTCAGTCTTGTCTTCAACAGCGTGCACACAGTAATTGCCTTCAAGTTTCTTAACAATTGTTTTCTTCAAGTGTGTTTCCTGATAAGTCAAGAAATATCAATTAAGTGTAGTGAGTCGAATTTCAAGAGCTCGTTACACATACATATTAATAAGCCTTAATAAAAGCAGCAGTGAATCAAGTCAAAATAAAATTGCCGAATCATTAATTAGCATCCTTTAAGGCGCTGCGCAAACGTGGACACTTTTGTGTATTGCGTCAGATAAGAGCTATCAATGAATATTTGATTTCTATAGAACAAGTCTGAAATCAGTCACTCCCTGCGCAGACGTAAACATTTTCTGTGTCCGGTTGTTTCTACTTTACACATACTGGTTGACGTTCAAAAAATTGTTCGGTGTCTTTATCTGGAAAATAAAGACGTCAGTTGAAGACATAAGCGACTCGACTCCCATCGTGATCATCATATCACCATATTAATGTTCACACTGCTGGGGCTGGGCTTCCCTATAAATGGAATAGAGAGATTGGGCCATGACTCACCACGCGGGCCCAGTGCAGATTGGTGGGTGCTAACGACTGCAGATGCAGCCGGAACCAACGGCTTAACGTGCCTTATGAAGCAGGAAGGAACACGAGAGAGGAAATTTTAGAACAGCCATCCAATGACCGACCACTGCGTAAGTTGCTTAACTTCAACGATCGCAGCCGAACGCGCTAACTATATGCGCCTTCGAGATCCAGCCCATCGTGATACTGACGGAAAAAATATTGTACCAGTGACCAGAAGTAGCGAACGAAGACTGTGTCGGTCGCCGCCATCGGACAAAGCAACTATTTCTTTTTCCTCCCAGGCGAGGGAGAGGGTGTGAAATCTTCATGGATACCCTACAGCCGGCTGCAAGGTTATGTCAGACTTACTGACTATAACACACCCATAGTTCGTGCTTATGGCCGGGATAGCCTTACAAGCTTCATCTGAAGCGATCATCTCCTGAGAGGTGGATGAACAGCAACTACGGTTGCCAGTAGGGTTCCAACTTTGTTTCTATAAAATATAGTATTTTCGAAGCTGTTAACTCTCAAAATATAGTAGATGTGGTTAAAATATAAGCTTTATTTATGAAATGAGTATATTTTTGCTGCTCTATACCTTAGTACTTCAGTTTTTTATTTTAAGCAAGCTTTTACTGTCAAAAGTCTGCTTTAAGCAAAATATAGAAGTTTCGCCTACTATATTTTTTTTAATATAGTATTTGATCCCCTAATATAGTAGAATACTATATTATATAGTAGGGTTGGCAAACATAGTTGCCAGTGACCTGAAGTAGCCATCGGCAACTGTGTCCCTCTGCCGCTACGTGTGTCTGCCGCACACGGGCCACCCGCTACAGCCACAAACACCGCCACGAGAAGCTAGAAGCGGCTACTAAAGTGGCTGAAGCGCGTGACAGTGGCCGACTAAGGTAAGGGAGAGAGGGGTGGGGAATCGTGCGAGTGACGTGTGGCGGCGTTTTGTATCGGCGCATTAAGTGTCCGGTGCGGGCCACAAGAAGCGAGCAACGACGATTTGTAGCGTGTGGCGGCCACCGGCGTACCGTGTGTGGCGAGTCCATATAAAATGTATGAAAACTACAAGAAATATGCCGGTGGCGGCGTTTTGTGGTTGTGGTCGGTGGCCCGTGTGCGGCGACACTACAAGACACAGCAACTACGATTTCCTGTGATGGTGTGTCGTGTCGGTAACAAAAAGTCTCCACGTTTGTGCAGCGCCTAACATTACTCTAGCTGTTATTTCGAACGCGTGATAATTCGTTTAGCATCAATCAGTGCATTGCAAGCTTGCGAAATCGCAGCAAAACCAAACCTATATTGTAGATGAATCGCGTGAGTACCTACCTACTGTCGTTTCGTGAAGCTATCGTTATATTTAACGTAACGAAAAATTGGTTCCTTGGCAGTTACTATAGATAATTGTGGCTTAGGAGACAACTGGTCTCTGGTCCGCGGCCCACATTACACGGAGTAGGAACACTAGTGGTAAAGTTGCCCGAATGCGTGGGCCAGAATACCATGGGAAAAAAAATCGTAGTAAAATTGACCCATTGGGATTTCGTATATATTTTTTTTTTATTTATATATTCGTTCGTAATGATTACGGTTTAAAGAAACGTCATTGTTATTATAAAGAGAATTATTAAAAATTTAATGTTATAACGGAAAAAAAATTGCTGTATTTTATTATTAATTTAATCAGGCTTTATAAAAATAGTCATTTGCACTATTATGTACATTGTAAAAACAATAATGACTTTCCTTAAAACAGCCAAAAATAAACAAATTATTATCTCCATTTATTTCATTGGGGCCTTAGACCAAGCCATGTTTATAGTTTATTTTAACATATATATATATATGCCTAACTGAAAAAGCGTGAGGCGCTAATTCACAATGCAGCAATTTTTCAGTTTCAAAAAACACCAAAATTTATTTTGGGTTTTTTTTATTTATTTTGGTGTTTTTTAAACCAAACACCGTTATGAACAATAAATATCTTCAAAATCATTGAGTTTCTTTAGCGCCAAAAAAGTACGCAAATCTTCAAAATATAAACAAAATATATACGTTGAAAAAAATCTGAATCAAATGATAAATAAAATAATATATATTTTTTTCTTTGCAGAAAACCTGTCGAACGAGGAGAGAACATGGGAGGAGATCATGCAGATCAAGGCCATGCCGGTGCCCATGAACCAGAAGAGGGAGCTCAAGGCAAAGTTGCAGGTAAGAAATAGAGAAAACATATTGTCTTTTGACACACACGAGACAGGAAATACAAGATTTCAAACGGTTCATAGAAACAAAAACCCATATCACAAAACACAATATTACCACAAAGTACACAACCGCAATTATTACAAAAAAAAAACAGACAGACAGCACTAACTGTGTACTCAAAGATGTCAAAGAAATTTAATGTCAATCAAAGTCACATGTTCCTTAATTTATCGTTATAGCAAAGAAAGCGCCAGTAATAACTTAAGGGTAAATTACTTCTTTGAGTACGAACAACAATACAAATTACACGGTACAAATAAGTTTTATGATAAGAGAATATTACCTTAATCAAAAACCAGGTCCTACATACACAACATTTTATTTCAGAATGCAACCAAATTGCGTCTGCAAGGCCTAGAGAACATCCACTGGCAACAGAGGAAAGTATGGCACCGTTTCCGCATCCGGTTCGGAGAAATCCTCGGAAAATTGGAAATGTGGCAATCGCCAATGAGAGAGATAGAAGGCACCTTTGGAACCGGCGTGGTATCATACTTTCTCTTTCTAAGGTGGCTGCTATTCCTAAACTTAGCCATATCTCTGTTCGTGATACTATTTCTAATTGTACCAAAGACTGTTCTAGTCGAAACCACATACGATTGCGACGAATACGAAACTAACTCGACCGTTTGTTGTTCACACGCGTATTTAAATAGGAATCTTACTGAATCCAATATAGTTTTAGACGTAATTCAAGGCACTGGATGGATGGAGCGTACAATATTGTTCTACGGTGTTTACAGCGACCAAATATACACTTACTTCATTAAAACCTTTTGGGAGACCCATTTGTATTACAATATGCCTCTAGCTTACATCCTAGTACCCATAACTTGGGCGTTACTATCCCTAATAGCTATAGTTAAAGCAGCGGCAAAAGGTTTCAAAGAGAAATTAGTTGAAAGCGAAGGACAGTTCTATCTTTACTGCAATTTAGTTTTCGGCGGTTGGGATTTCTGCATACAGAACGATAAATCGGCGAAAATCAAGCACAAAGCTTTGTTTAACGAAGTAAAAGGATGTCTGGAAGAAGAGAGGTTCAAAGAGGAGAAGCAGCTGAGAAGTAGAGAGAGCCAGATCTTTTTACATTTGAGGAGGATATTGATAAATCTAATAGTGCTAATCATACTTATAGCGTCAGGGGTTTTGATATACGTGTCATTCAATTATTCCTTGGATAGACTCAGCGCTAAAACAGCGATTCAAGTAGATTCTGATGGACCGGATAAGTTATACGTGAACAGGACTTGGGAGAAACTGGCTAGCCATTTGTCGATAGACAGAAATTACCAAGTGCTAGGATTGTACAGAGAAAGTTCCTTTTTAGAGCAACTGGAGAATACTCTATTAGAATTCCTACCATATATATGTATCGTAGTTTTAAATTTGATTGTGCCCGAGATATTTAACTACCTGATAGGTTTTGAGGATTATTTGCCCGCTCGCGTCATAATAGTCACTTTATTAAGGACCGTGTTGTTGAGGCTGTCTTCTTTGGCAGTGCTTTTGAGTCAAATTTACATGTTCATTGTTTCGAATGATTTAACTTGTTCGTGGGGTAATGATGAGGCTAACGGTTTAGAATGCTGGGAGACTTATTTGGGCCAGCAGTTGTACAAGTTGATTTTAACCGATTTCGCACTCCAATTCGTTACAACTTTCCTGATAAATTTGCCTAGGGCATTCCTAGCTCGCCATTCCTCCAGTAGATGCTTAAAAATTATCGGTGAACAAGACTTCTACCTCCCTAAACACGTTCTAGACATAATCTACGTTCAAACCATCATATGGATGGGCTCATTCTTCTGTCCATTTCTACCGATTATCGGTACAGTGTATTACTTCCTGATATTTTACGTGAAAAAGTTCACGTGTCTCACGAACTGCACACCATCGCCTGTAGTTTACAAAGCGTCCAAATCGAAATCTCTTTTCATGTCAGTGCTTTTATTAGGGTTTGTGGTATCGATAACGCCTGTTGCGTATTCCGTTGCGGAATTGCTTCCATCGGTTAACTGCGGGCCTTTTAGGGGTTATAACACTGTTTGGGAATACGTTATAGATACTTTTGAAAGATTCCCGTTGGTTTTACGGGAATTTGTATTCCTTTTGGGCACTTCGGTGTTTGCTGTGCCAGCTTTTGCGCTGTTACTGCTGTTCTTATATTACTATTGGGCTGTAGCTACAGCTAATAGGCATATGGTTAGCGTGTTAAAGAACCAGTTAGTCTTAGAAGGGCATGATAAACAATTCCTTCTGAATCGCTTGAGCGCTTTCATAAGACAGCATCAGAAAAGATGCGAGAGAAGGAATAGGGCTAGTTTTGCTGATGACGATTCGTCGATAAGACAAAGCTCGAGGTAATTCGGCTAATTTGTATTGTAGATGTTATTGTAAAATAAAGAAGCAACAAACGTATCCATTTTACGTAGTCGCGTATTACGAGTAAGGTAGGTTTTGATAAAGATTAAACTGATTTGTAAAACCCAGTAAAGTTAAGACTATTTTGTGTATTGTTTTTTTCTTTCGTTTAGTGACTAAAGACTGTTGTTAATTTCCTTTCCTTAGTGAGGTTCTATAATAGCTTTTTAGTGACAAATTTCAAGAATTATCCGAGCAGCGACGCTTTATAAACGTTGTATACAAGGAAGTTATATAACTTCCTCGATTGTATGTAACTATGTTTTATTGAGGTTAGGTTTATGGAAATGTCTGTTAAAGTGATAATATCGAAAACTTCAATATGGGGGCACATATTATTTACACAATATTTTAATCAGTGTTTTTGAGATTTATGTTTTTCCACATAATATATAGGTTGTGTTTGTGTCACAAATAATAAATAGACATTTTTTTACATTTTATTCTTAAAGCTTATTTTTAAAGTCTGCTGACTACTACGTAAGATTATAAGCAAGAAAATTCAACCATTATATCCGCTGAGCCATTTATAAATATATGTGTTCAGTATAATAGATAAAGTTGAATTTTTATTTAGTTAATTTTAGCTCTCTGCAACAGCCGCTTAAATGCAGATTTTTTATTTATTATTTTATTTAAATAAGTACACTTCTACTGTTTATTTACTATACGAGTTCCTTATTTCTTTTAGCTATGTGATTGATAAATTGGATAATTTCTGTGAAAAAATTTTAATACTCGATTTCTTTACTTAGTTTAAAAACTCAAAAAAAAAAATAGATTTTATAAATTCACTCAAAATCTTTCCCATCAATTTTTATAATTTACTAAAAGGAATTTTTTTTTTTTCTAGATTTTATTAAATGAAAAAATCAAAAGTGTGACGTTAAACAGCTCTGACGTAATCGCCATAAGTCACAAGTGTGAGTGCGATAGCAAACTGCACACACACTCCCTCTCCTTGTCTAGTTATATTTGAAGTACTACTTCAACGATATTAAATACCCTACATACACCACGTATCTAGTCAATGTTTGTTAATTTAACTCATTTGAAGTAAATTTTCATCTAAAACTTACTATAAACTGATTTGATATAAAAATCAGTCGGTTATACATCGCCATATAGCCGTCTCTTTTCCTCGCGGTCCGTGCCTGCTATATTGCTAACAGCGCGTTCAGAATTGCGCGTAGAGTCAAAGAACAAAGGTCTAAATTCTTCCGAATATAGCAATAAGTCGTAAAATTTTACGAGCTTGCATTTCGAACTGTCAGGAGTCCTTGACGCATGCGTTTTATTTAAGACCTTATGCAGTATGTATTAAAGGTTACTTTCAATATTTAAATAATGCTTTATATTGATTTAGACTACGCGATCATCTTACGGAGCTCCGTGGATCGTTCAATGTACCTTTTGGACAGGTTTCGGGCACGATTTTGTTCGTGTTGGTGTATCTAGGGTATTTAATATCGTTGTACTTTTTATTTTTCTTTCTTCACAGAAAGATATCTTTATTATTCAGTATAATATAAATATATAAAAAAAATACATAATAATGAGCAAATATTTTTAAATAATTAACTTTCATTTTATAAACACACTTATAACTAAATAAATTATATACAAATGCTAAATATTAACACTCTTCCCAGGTATTATCCAATTTTTCTTTGAAATACTCGTCCCATTCACAACGTAGGTAGTATTGTTTGCATTTCTTATTCAGGTAAGCTGTGTTTTCCTATATTTATTTAATTCTAATAAAACACATGTTTGGTATGTACTGTATCTGTATAAAACCTGTAAATAGTATTTAATATATTAGAAACACAGAATAGAGATCTCAAAATAGCTAGGGTATAATAAATAATATTTGTACATTTGACTAAGTATATTTAACTGTACTTATATAATATGTAGTTATTTTCACGGGTGGATTCGACCGCACAATAATATTGATAAATAGGTTTATTTACTTCTTAGATTTCACGCACAAAAATCGTTTGAAAATCACTTTAATCACTTGCCAAAATCTCAGTTTGGTGGCTAGAGAGAATTCGAAAAGTCAAGAATAATTAAAAAAAACACTATTTTTACTCGTTTATAATAAAAAAAAGTCGTTTTATTAAATGTATTATATATTAATTTTTAGCGTAAATCATATTTATATGATTTTTTTTTCATGGTAGTATTGCAATATTTTCAGTTTGTAGAGCTCATAGGGTTACAATATACAAAAAGGGGTTGATTTAATTTTCTGGCACTTCTAAAAAGAATATTACTGTAGTCTTTGTAGAGGTAACATTGGGACTTTGTATTTGCTCAATTAATTAAATAACCTCATAAGTTCGGATGTCAATAGATTTAATGTAGTAATAAGGTATTTAGTTTCAATATAAAACTGTTGGGATTATTCAAGAATGGTAGATACAGAATTGATTTAATTTTTCTTTTAAATTTGACAGTTTTTTTTACCATATTTTAATCTAATACAATTCAGTATATGTTGTACATTTATTGCTATATTTATTTCTTTTGATAACTAAGATAAAAATATTTGGTCGAATTCGCCCTTTTTAAGAAATGAATCAATTTGTAGGAAAGTTTTTTTTCTTCAAAACACTGTTTTTTTTTAATTTTAAGTATTTTTTTTGTAAGTACATAAAGAAGAGAAAAATGACAATAGAAGTTTAGTTTCATGCAAACGTAAATTTTATACATTTGAACAGAAAACCCCTTTCCTATAAAAAGATTTATTGATAAGAAAAGAAATCCAATTTTTGTTACCTTTATTAGAATATACATCTACGCACTGTCTCTACTAAAAAATATACCTAATCGCAGAAAAAAGTTTGATTCACATTAATAAAGTATTTATTGAATAATTTATATGAACACTGCTTTATTTGATAACGCTGTTGTTTTACTGAAGAGTAGGTGATTCAATTCTGTTCTTGAAAGTTTTGTTTTATTAGGTCATCAAAGAAACTGTTGTCTTCCAAAATATAATTTACTTAAAATTATAAATCTGTGCCATGACATGACGTTAAGTTATGACAGCTAAATTTGTTAACCTGGACTCCCATGACATTGTTAAAGGCTAATTTTATACTTACTTATTTTTATTAAGACCCTTATTACATACATACTTACTTATATATTGTTCATGTTCAGGATGTTATATTATAGCTATTAACGGGATTGTTACCATGTACCTTGTTATTTATGTGTCTCCGATATTTCGGCACTGTTGCAAGCGCCATGATCACGGAGTAACTGAAGTAATTGCGGGTAGATGTTATTGGCAGACATATCGGTCTACCCTCTGACGACGTCTTTTATTGCGCGCGATACCCCAACCACTGGGCACATTCTCACTATTCACAAACGCGATGATGGCCCCAAATTAATGGCTGCAATATTATTGCGACAAGCAGACCCGTCTTTCCCAGTGGGCACTTTGGGCAAGTGCCCAGGGCCCCGCGATCGATAGGGGGCCCCCTCAGATCAGATACAAAGTCCCTAGTTCCTGTTAAATCACCAAACGGAAGTCATAGGAGCCCCATTATCCTAATATGCCCAGGGCCTCCAATAGGTCAAAGACGGCACTGGCCACAAGCTTGGCTAGATCATACAGGTCGAAGCACGTAACTCTAGCGCTGAACTAGCATGGGTACGACTGAGACAATCGGCGCAACGCACGCCCACCCGCGCACCTCGTTTCCCCTCAAGACTTCTTCATTTTTACTTCTGCGCAATAACGGTCAACGCTAGTTTCGTGTCGCGACTTATACATAGATGAGTCTATTTGAATCATGACCGAACGTAGCGGCACATTCAGCTTATGTATCTTAGGCAGACTACACAGTTAAGGTACACGGTGACAATTCTATTAATAACTATAATGTTTAAAGAAAATATATCTAGAAATAATTCCACACGGACCAGGCAGCAGGCGGTACTCGAACCCTTCGCAATCCGGGCGAATACACTGACCAATTATGCTGCCGCGCCCCTCACGGACCGCGTCGAAATTCCTCTAGCCATTCTTAAGCTGCAAGGCAGCTCCATCTCTTCGCATTATAGGTAACCCATAATAACAAATGAATACTTTTACAAGTATTAACATTTGAAAGAAGAATAATTGGTCAGTGCATTCGCCCGGATTGCGAAGGGTGCGGGTTCGAGTCCCGTCTGCTGCCTGGTCCGCGTGGAATTTTTTCTAGTTATATTTTCTTTAGATTAAAATATCAAGCAGTTACATGCTTTAAAAAATAAAAATTATAACTATAATGTTTGTGACCATGTCAGTTTAAGAAAAGGATGTTATTATATTTCTGCGTCGTTATTGGAATTTTTCACTGTTGTTTTGCATATTAAAGATTTTCATTTTTTACTCTGCTTCCTAATTGTCTGACTTCAAAACCCATAACAACACCTTTTGATTTTTAAATGATATTATATTTAAAAATTTATTCTATTAAGCATTTACACTGTGTGATTTTTATATCTTAAGAACATTGAAATTATTTTAGAAATTTAGTTAGTCAATCTCTAATAGGGATGATGACGGGGTACGGGGAACGGTAAACGAAATTCTATTTAGTCCGTCAGTTAGATGATCAAAAAATAATGGACACGTATTTTTTCTTTGGGCAATCGACCAAAGAATTACAAAGTTATAGCGCGTCAAAGTTTGGGAGTAGGGGTTCGTGACGTCACTTTTGAGTGAGTTAAAAGTGTACCAAAACGTGACGTCATGCGACTTTTCAAATCAATATATCTCTGAAATGTTTATATTATGTGAAAAAAGAAAAAATACGTGTCCAATACTTTTTGATAATCTCCTGATAAACGAAGAAAAGAAAATTAGTCATCATCCCAAATATTATGACATATCGTGTAAGGCCTTGAATTTAGACAATTAAGAGGCATATTATCAACACAATGTAAACTGAAACATCTCCGCTACAGAATAGGGTTACCAGGTGCTGGCTTATCAATTCCGGAACATCCCTCCCTCCAGAAATAAAACATCACATCAAAATATAGATCAGTAAACGAATGCCTTTATATGGCATGCTTCTGTCGCCCCTCGCAGGTAGGGGTGAGTATGGTAATATTGTGAAAAATAACTGGTGTTTGGGGATTCCGGGATAACAAGGTCTAATTACTGGACACGGAACAAGACGCAAAATTCTGGATAATCCCAGATTTTACCGGCCATCTGGCAACCCTACTAACAGAATCATTTATTGGGAAGTTCTTATGAACTTCGTACGTAATCAATTAACTAATAGCAGATTTTTATTGATTCGATAATGTACATGGCGCCAAATTTGGTGATATGCGGGTGAGCTTCGTTTTCGTGGTTCAATTCAACCAAGAAGTGTTAGCTTATTTGTTTGTTTGTTTCCATATAAATCTGCCATTCCAGTTTCAATGTTAAGAAATTGCCGATTTTTCGAGTAGGTACACTGCATTTATTTATTGGTGCTTTTGTTATTTAAGAAAATTTGATTTTTCTATACTTATTTATTTTGGAAACAATTATTAATGATTTTAGTAGATTTAATGATATTTATTAAGCTTACGAGGCAATTACAATTATTGTTAATATTGCTTTCATTCAAATGTTTTGGAAGGAAATATTCTAAAAACCGGAAAAAAAATATTGTTTAATTATAAAAGCCTTGATTGTAAATCGGGTAAGATTACTTAAGCACTCACTGCCATAATACGGATTAATGTTTAATTGTACGCATAATAAAACCATACTGTAACTGAGAATCCATATTTTTATTTCAACCTTTAGATTCCCAGATTTAAATAAAATAAGTTTCAACGGGATAGATGCACTAATTTTATTTATTTATTGACGTTTCGCATCCTTTGCAGGAATGCGTCGTCGTTCCCAGATTTGTTAATATCAGAATGTGCGGTCATTAAAAAAGCGCATTATCGCATATTACCAACTATAAGTGTATTCCGTAATATATACCAGTGCCCCTAACACGAACCAATATCGAATTCGTATCGTATGCGGGTCCGAAATGTCATTGTCAAATGTGTACTGATTTGTAGTTCTCGTTACGTACTTTGTGCCGCTGCTGTTCAAGTTTCCATACAAAATTTGACATTGACATTTCGGTTTGCAAACTATTCGAATTCGATAATGGTTCGTGCTAGGGGTACAGTATACTGGCCAGTGCTAATGACGTCATGAATCGACGCTATACTGGTGAATTGTTCTGAAATATACTCGCCAGTGCACTAACGTCATAAATCGACGAAATATTAAAAATAGTTCGAATAAAGATTTTTTTATTCACCTCATCAATTAAAAGGAATTCTTTTTGTTCGGATGCCATTATTATTCATTAAATAAAAAAGAAATAAAATTCGAATGCATCGCACGCACGCAATTGGAATATCTTTCCGAACGGTTTCGCCACGATAGCACTGGTTTCAAAATCCTATGTCTTCTATGCGTGGTCCTTTATATACATTCAACCAATCCGCTCTGGACCCACGTTGGCATGGGAAATTTGGCCCAATCTCCCTATTCCATAAAAAAATTGTGAGCCCGAACAACACATTAAAAGTGGAACTTCTTTTCTTAAATAACCTAACATTTGGTGGTGCATAAGGCATGGACGAATAGAACAGCGCACCCATCATTCATATATATATATACAGGATGTTACAAAAATACAAATAAAGCTTGAAGGGCATTGAGGTACATCATATAAGGATACTTCTCTAATTTTCTTATAATATTTGCATGAAGTTTTAACTTTTTATAAAAACAGTTATTTTTAATCATTCTCGAACTAGTGACGTGTCTTAAAATGATCGATATTTAAATCTAAAGAAAATATAACTAGAAAAAATTCCACGCGGACCAGGCAGCAGACGGGACTCGAACCCGCACCCTTCGCAATCCGGGCGAATGCACTGACCAATTATGCTACCGCGGCCCTCACGGACCGCGTCGAAATTCTTTCTAGCTATTCTTAAGCTGCAAGGCAGCGCCATCTCTTCGCATTATAGGTAAACCCACAATGTCAAATGAATACTTTTACAAGTATTAAACATTTGAAAGAAGAAATAGCAATTATAGTTATAATTTTTATTATTTTTAAAGCACGTAACTGCTTGATGTTTAAATCTAAAGAAAATATAACTAGAAAAAATTCCACGCGGACCAGGCAGCAGACGGGACTCGAACCCGCACCCTTCGCAATCCGGGCGAATGCACTGACCAATTATGCTACCGCGGCCCTCACGGACCGCGTCGAAATTCTTTCTAGCTATTCTTAAGCTGCAAGGCAGCGCCATCTCTTCGCATTATAGGTAAACCCACAATGTCAAATGAATACTTTTACAAGTATTAAACATTTGAAAGAAGAAATAGCAATTATAGTTATAATTTTTATTATTTTTAAAGCACGTAACTGCTTGATGTTTAAATCTAAAGAAAATATAACTAGAAAAAATTCCACGCGGACCAGGCAGCAGACGGGACTCGAACCCGCACCCTTCGCAATCCGGGCGAATGCACTGACCAATTATGCTACCGCGGCCCTCACGGACCGCGTCGAAATTCTTTCTAGCTATTCTTAAGCTGCAAGGCAGCGCCATCTCTTCGCATTATAGGTAAACCCACAATGTCAAATGAATACTTTTACAAGTATTAAACATTTGAAAGAAGAAATAGCAATTATAGTTATAATTTTTATTATTTTTAAAGCACGTAACTGCTTGATGTTTAAATCTAAAGAAAATATAACTAGAAAAAATTCCACGCGGACCAGGCAGCAGACGGGACTCGAACCCGCACCCTTCGCAATCCGGGCGAATGCACTGACCAATTATGCTACCGCGGCCCTCACGGACCGCGTCGAAATTCTTTCTAGCTATTCTTAAGCTGCAAGGCAGCGCCATCTCTTCGCATTATAGGTAAACCCACGCGTTCGACGTTCGTTCGACGCGGTCCGTGAGGGCCGCGGTAGCATAATTGGTCAGTGCATTCGCCCGGATTGCGAAGGGTGCGGGTTCGAGTCCCGTCTGCTGCCTGGTCCGCGTGGAATTTTTTCTAGTTATATTTTCTTTAGATTTAAACATCAAGCAGTTACGTGCTTTAAAAATAATAAAAATTATAACTATAATTGCTATTTCTTCTTTCAAATGTTTAATACTTGTAAAAGTATTCATTT